TCCCTCCCTCCCTCCCTACCTACCTACCTACCTACCTACCTACCTACCTACCTACCTACCTACCTACACATGTACATCCATGTGTCCATATGTACATACTATGTACACTTAATGCTGGAACCTGCCAGGCGGGGTTTGGTGCGCAAACTTGTGCATGCAGCAGTCATCGCTCTATGATGTTAGGCTACACGCATGCTTCTTCCAGGCCTATAGTCACACTTTGTGAACTACCTTTGCACCTAGATTTCAGCCTCATGACACGACCATGCACACGGACTCACAACGAACAAAGCACATCAGCAGCCCCGACACCCGGCCTTTTTCAGCATGTCATGGGCCTTGCCAGCCTTTGCTTCAGCAGATCCAATCGCAGCGCCTGCAGGCCGGCATGCAAGATGTTTGGCCTTCCTCACTCTTCTGGATGGAGGGGGCTGTAACTCCGCAAGAAAGACACGATGGCAGGCTGCAGGTTATGCGTTCAAGGCACGTTGCGTCAGGAAGGCCACGGCATCTTGCAGCTGAGCCACCTGGGAGGCTTGGTCGTCATGGCCGTGGCTATAGCGATTGAATGTGAATCGCATGAAGCTTCGGGCTCTTCTACAACTCCCTAGGCTTATCGGCTGAAGGAACGAGGTAGTGAATTGGCATGCTTCTCTCTCTTTTCGGAATCGCGGCTCCTGACCTCTCTGAAGATCTATCGCAGTTTGACAATCCTGGAGCTGCCACTGCTGAGGAAATCGATCTGCCGCCGTGAAAACTCACAAACAAATCGAAGAAGAGAATGCCTTAGAATTTGCCAAGACTGAAGGTAACGATGTTGGGATTGCTCTGAAGCCAGCCGAGGAGTTGCAAAGCTATTCAAGGCTGCATGAGATGGAACACGAACAAGGTTCGCAGTAATCTCGTGAACCTCGTGCGTGCAAATCCCTGTAGCCGCAGGCCTTGCTTTCAGCTGCCGCATACCTTACATCTGCTCAGAGCAAAGTCAGAAGAAGGAAGGTGTCGGGCCTAGTTTTGCCCAGCTTTCAAGGTGACAATGTACTTCCTTACCAAACTAACACGAAAAACAGGGACTGCCAGAAATCATATGTGTCCGAAAGGCGGCAAAGCTATCGTTACCCTCCCATGCCGCTTTCCAAGAAGCATCAGGGCAGAGAGGTGAGCAAATTAATCTGTTTTTCACCCATAAAAGTTGCTCAAGATGCCAACATAGCCGTGCCAACAACGACCTCGGTCTAAAATCCTTCCTGACACAAAGGCACTTGCCGAACAAGATGCTGCTTTCGCAGGTGGATGTCTGCAAACTCCAGGTCCACTGGATTGACTGTCCCCTTGGTGTCAAAACCCTAAACCCTAAACCGCTTTATCATTATGTGCTTAAACCCTGAACCCTGAACCTCTTTACCATTATGTATTAAAACCCTAAACCCTGAACCTCTTTATCATTCTGTCTTTAAACCCTAAACCCTAAACCCTGAACCCTTGGTGTCATGGTTTGAGCGGCACTAAGGCTGGTGACCTCGTGTTCGGTTCACAGTTCCCCTTCCAGTGCAGCAACCTGGCGATAATGTAGGGGCCTTAATAATTGAAATTGAGTTTTGGGGGCCCATCAGACTATCATTATAATCCGGCACCCCCCAACAAAAAACTCGCATAGGTCATTATTAAGCCCCCTACATTATGTGCAATGACAGATCTCACCGAGCAATAGCGCCACCCGGGAGTTTGGAACAGCGTGATTCCGAAGCGAGCGCTCCGGACTCGCGGCTAAGAGCCCGAGGAATGTGTACTGACGATATGTTTAACAGTTTAACTGGACGAGGTAGGGATGACACTTCCAAATCTACCAATGAGTTTGCTCTCCTATGTCCTGTGTTAAATAGCTTGTTCATATTGATCCTGAGACCAAACTCAGTAAAACAGCTTCAACAATGTTGTAGCCAACGTGAATTCAAATTTTCAGACCCTAAACCTCCTCCTATCCGTTGAACCTATCCTGGGCCTCCCTGTAGCCCAAACAATCAACCTTTGCTAGAAGCACTTCCACTCGTCTCAGCCCCAGCCAAGCCACATGCCCGGGTCGGGAGGGCAGGCCAGCCTGTGCCCAGACGGCTAATGCTTCTTGCGGGTTCGTAACGTTCTCGACCTCTCTCTCTCTCTCTCTATCTAT